GAATAAACTACTTTTTAAATTCTTGCGTATGAAAAATTACAAAATTTACTGCAGGTAGTTGAGTAAATTATTAGTTAGGTAGATTAAATGCCATTAATTATTGTATATAATTAATATTGTAACTTAAAAAACAGATATTCAACAATAATAATATAATTATATTATAAATGAAATATGTTTATATTATTACTATTTCCATAACAGGTTGATTTAATTATACTATAACATTACGTGACACTGTCACGTTTCTATTTTTAATAAATTTATTAATAGTACACACACTTAAAATATATATATGTAAATTAAATTAATTAAATTTCTTATATATTTCATATAGGCATCACTTAAAACTTTTTTATTTATATGTATCTTCTAAATAAATTAATATTTTTATTTATATTTAAAATTTTATATTTTTTTATAAAATTATAAATAAATAAAATATTTTATTTAATTGTATTATTTAATTTTTTTTCTATAAAATAATACTTCATCTGTCTCGAAAATGGTCATTTGAGATTCATACTAAATTAAAAAATACTTCATCTGTCTCACATAATTTGTCTCTATTTTCTATTTTCGTCCGTCCCACATAACTTGTTATTTCTATTTTTGGAAATATAATTATGCATTTTAATCGCATTTTAAATTTTATAATTTTCTTAATTTTAATTAAACTATTTACTTACCTTAATTTTAATCTATAATTATTTTTACTAAATAATAATTATTTTTACTCATACACTTCTTAATTACTTACTAATTATACTTTACCTAAATTCATGTGTCTACAGTAATACACCTATATTACATGGGACGGAGGAAATAATAGAATTTTATTGGTTAGCAAAAGTGCGTAAGATATTTTAATATTTTTATCATTTTACTTTATGAATAAAGTAATTGTATATATATATATTTATAATTTAAATCAAAGTTAAAATAATATTTTGATAATAATGTATGATTAATTTTTTCAAAATAAAAAAGATATAGAAATAAACAAAAATGGTTAAAAATATACTTTGAATTGAGACAAGCGAAGTATTTATTTACAAATATTTTATTGAGATATTAGTGTTTACAAATATTTAAACATATATTATACTCCCTCCGTCTTATATCTATATATTCATTTGTTTTTTGTAAGGAGTTTTATAAATATTAGTATTATATTGAGATAAAGTAAAAATAAATGTAAAAAGATTAAATTAACCCTACTAGTATTGTATGATATAAATGTAATGACATTTGTGTAATATATTGTAAATTGGAAATGTATTTGTAATATTAGGTAGATAGTACAATTAGTAAAAAAAAATAGATATTTTATTATAGACATACCAAAATAAAAAAATAAATAAATTATTAAGGGACATGGGAGTAATATACTTTTTATCATATACTCCTTTTTTTTTTTTTTATATATATCAGTCATACCATACATAATAAATAATAGTAAAATAATATTAATAAGTTACTATAAATTTTAAATAATAAAATTTAAAATTATAATTTGATAAATAGTAAGTAATAAAGGTTAATTAAGAAAAATACGCGTAGCCAGTAGGTTATAACTGAGTTCATTAATGACCAGAATATTTTAATTAATACTTATTTATTAAACCATGCATTTAAATAATAAATTGATTATATTAATAAAAATAATGTACAATTATATTTGTTTATAAATCTCGGTAGAATAATTTGTATGATAATAAAAACAAAATTCCAAAGTAACATAATTAGTAAATAATTTAAAAATTATATTAGTATAAATAATTATAATTAAATAAATATATATTAAAATGATTAATTAATTTGATTAAAATATAAAAAATTATAAATTAAAAAAATTAAAATGTAATAAAACGTATATTATTATTATTATTTAAATGAGAAATAAAATGTGAAACATATTAAACTTGATAATATGAAGCGAAAATATGAGACATATGGAGTAAAAATTAAGATTGTGTTATACTCCCTCCGTCACACGTACCGTATCTACTACACTGTAAACACGGTATTTTAGAAGATGTGTAATTAGTAGATAATTAAGAATGTATTAGTGAAAATAATTATTTGATAATATAAATAACTATAAATTAAAATTAAGATAACTAATTAGTTTAATTAAAATTTTAAAAAATAAATAAAATTAAAAAGTTTAAAATGAGATTTAAGTGTGTAATCATTTTCGAGAAAAAGAAAGTGACATGGTATGTGAGACGGATATAAACGGCAACGTGGACATGGTAAGGGAGTATTATTATTTGAGTAGTGAAATTTTATGGTTAGTTATTATAAATTGTAAAAATATTTTAGAAGAATTGTGAAGTTATAGATTTTTATTTTTTAAAAATATTTTGTGAAAGCAAATGTCTTTTTTTTAAAAGAAAATTAAAAAATATAGATATTTTCTTTTTAAAGAAAAATGGAAATATGTAATTTATAAAAGAACAATTTCTAAGTTTATTTGATTTTAATTTGAAATTATGAGTGTTTTATTTAGATAATATTTTAATATAATATTTTGTAAAAAATATATATTTTAAAAAATAATAAATTATATTATATTTAAATTACAAAGCAAACACATCTTTTGACCTTTTGAATCAATATTCTTATTATTGTAAATAATATTCTACCGTTTCAATACAATAGTCTTCTTTGCCCTTTTTTGTCCATTCCAAGATAATACTCTCATTTTCATAAATAACCATATTACCATAAAATTATTCCTTTTTTTTTATTATTATTATACAATTATCACTACTTTTTACACTAATATACTCACAAAGACAGAAAAGTCACTTATATTTACTTTTTACCAACTACTAATATAATATCAATATTTGACTAGTATTTTATACTAATAATATAATACTCCTGTCCCCGTCAAATGATTCATTTGACTAGAAATACAATATTTTAGATAGTGTAATTTATATAAATAATATTATTATTATTTTTAAAATATAATTTAATATACATAATTCAAAGAAATTTAAAATAAGTATTAATTTTTTAAAAAACTACAGTATATTTTAATAAACTATATATAATATTGATATCATTTTTTCAATAATAAAATTTTATATAATATAAATAAATAAAAATATTTCATCCGTCTCTCGACAAACTATTTATTTTTTCATTTTGTTCAGTCTCGTAAAAAAATATCAATTTTTATTTTTATTAAATGTACTATCTATCTAACATTACAAATTCTATTTCAATTTATAATATATCATACAAATGTCATTATCTTTATATCATATAGTACTAATAAGGTTAGTTAAGTTATTCTAACTTTATTTATACTATATTCAAATATAATATTAATATTTCTAAAATTTCATGCAAAAAATAAACAAATATATAGATATAAGAGCGACGGAGTATATTTGTTTATCTACAATTAATATAAATTAACTTATAAAAAATATATATAAATATTTGTTGATTGAAGGAGAAAATAATAAAGAGGTTTTAAATAAGTATATGAATAAGATTTTTGAAATTTAATTAAATTGATTTATATATTTTAAATTATGTTTAAAATAGTTAAATTTATCAAAAATAAAAATAGATCATTTTATTTGAATGAAAATGAATATTGGATTTTGTTTTATTGTGATTTGAAATATAAGGATCATTTGAATTTTTACTTAAATATTTATTTTAATATACTATTTTGTAAAAAAAAAATACTCTCTTCGTCCCAAAACTATGATCTTATTTGAGTTGGACACGAGATTTAAATAATATTAATATTATATTTGATAGTTGGTAAAAAGTATGAATAAAAGACTTTTTTGTCCTTATGAATATATTGGTATAAAAAGTAATGATATTTGTGTAATAATAATAAAAAAATATGAATAAAAAATTTGAATACATTTTTAGATAAATAGGGAATATATTTTATTAAAAACTTCGCTCTAAAATAATAACTAATCACACTGTTGGGTTTGTTTGGTTGTGGTGTAGATTTAAAATGGAGTGTTAATTTAAATTTATGTATAAATATTCTTTCCGTTCAGACATAAGATATACATATTTTATTTTGAAACGTTCAATTACAAAGTAAATATTTCATTAAATACCTTATATTTTTTAAAAAATACCCTTATTTTACATCACATCATTAGTTTTACACCAAAAACAAGGGTACAAATGTCATTACACTACTTTTAACTTCCCACTATAATTAAAATACTCAATTCGTCTCTTATCTATCTATCCGTTTGCTTTTTGTATGGAATTTTAGAAATATTAGTATTATATTGGAATATAGTGAAAATAAAAGTAAAAATACTAAACTAACCTTATTAGTATTATATGATATAAAGTTGATGACATTGTAATATATTGTAAATTGTAAGGGTATTTGTAACGTTATGTTAGGTAGATAATACATTTACTAAAACAAGAAAATGAATAATTTATTATTGGAGGAACCAAAATAAAAAAAATACATAAATTGTTAACGGACAGAAAAATTACTATTATTTCTTAAAAACTGCGCTAAAAGTAAATGTTTACTTTGTATATAGACAGAACGAGTAATATTTTGATATAATATTCTATAAAAAAAATAAAATATTTTTATTAAAAATTATACTCCCTCCGTCCCAAAAGAATTGTTATGTTTTTCCATTTTCGTCCGTCCCAAAGTAATTGTCTAATTTTCTTATTTAGTAATTGTGATCTCTACTTTATAACAAAATTATTTCTAATTTTTCAAATTATCTCTAATTATTACTCTAATTTATTTTTTCTAAATCCTAAACCCTAAACACCCAATAAGATGTCTCTTTTGGGACTAGGGGAGTACATTAATTTCAGTTTAAATGATAAAAATAATTGATTTTTCTATTATTTCTATTTTTTTAAACTTAGAAATTCAACGACCCCCCGCCGCCCCCCCCCCCCCTCTCTCTATATATACATACAAACTCATATCTGAGCTGTATATTTGTCTGTCAGTATCAATGGCGGCGGCGGCGGCGGAGGCAGCAGTGACGATCGTCGGCGCAGGGCCGTCGGGGCTGGCGACGGCGGCGTATCTCCGCCACCTGTCGATTCCGTACACAATCCTAGAGAGAGAAGACTGCTACGCTTCGCTATGGCAGAAATACTCTTACGACCGCCTCCATCTCCACCTGACCAAGCACGCCTGTAGCCTGCCGTTAATGCCCATGCCGGAAACCTACCGGAAATATCCTTCCCGGCGGGATTTTCTGGCGTACCTCGCAGATTACGTGGCGCGGTTCGAAATCCGGCCGCAGTACCGCCGGCGCGTGGTCGCGGCGGAGTACGACGAGACTCGCCGGAAATGGCGGATCCGGGCGCGGAATCTGGCGGCGGAGGAAGAGGAGGAGTATGAGTCGAGGTTTCTGGTGGTCGCCACCGGCGAGACATGTGACCCGCACGTGCCGGCTTTGCCTGGCCTCGGAGACTTCGCCGGAGAGGTTAAGTTATTAAATGATACTACTTCAATTATTCTTGCTTTTATTATATAAATAAATAAATAAAATTATATATATATACACCAACAAATAAATAAATAAAAAATCGTGCTCTAGTAATAAAAAAAGAAATGTTGTGCTTAAAATAATGAATTATTTGTAAATAAAAGATAATTGAGATGTTTGAAATTATTAATATTATAATGAGGTTGTTTAATTTCGATCAATACTTTCTACCAATACACAGAGTACATGGTTATTTGTTTTTTTATATATTATTTTTAATAAAAAATATTCTTTTTTTGTTTCGATACAATAGTCTTTGGTTATCATTCTTGTCCATCTTAATAAAATAATAATTATATTATCATAAAATTATCTTTATTTTATTATTATTATTATACAATTGTTACTATTTTTTAAGTTAATACATTTACAAGGACAAAAAGATATTTTACCTGTATTTTTACTAATTATCAATATAAATATAAATAGTTTTTTAAATCTCGTGTCCAACACAACTAATACTATATTTTTAAATAAAAAAAATAGTACTCCCTCCTCCCTCCATCCCAACCCAAAATACTATTTTTACTGTCCCACTTAAAAATATAAAAGTAATTGTATATTAATACCAAAATATTCTTAACTTAAATTACAAACATATCATCATACATATAATTATTTTTTACATAAAAAATCAAATGTAAAAAATATTAAAATATCTTACACACTCTTATTAACTACTAAAATACTACTCCCCTCTGTCCAATTTATATTGTCCTAAAATGTATTTGCACGGTTTTTTAGGTGATTGGTTTTTTTGTTATGGATTAAAAAATTTGTCCTTCTTAATTATATGGTAGAGAATAAAAGTAATAAATGAATGAAGGGTAAAAATGTAAACAATAGGTGTTGAACGTCACAAATAAAAAACTAGTACATTAATTTGTGGACGAAGAAAATATTATTTTTTAATTTACTATAAAATCCCAAAAGACCAGATTGAAACTATTATTATTTTTTTTATACTCCCTCCTTCAAGTTATAAAGTATACATGTTTCTATTTTGGGACGTTGAATTACAAAGTAATCATTTCATTAAATATTCCATTTTTTTCCACAAATACCCTTACTTTACGTCACATCGTTACTTTTATACCAAAAAGTAAAGCAAAAATGTCATTACGCTACTTTTACCTGCCTATTATAATTAAAATAGTAAATGTATATTTTATGCTATTTAATATGTTATAGAACATACTGTTCTATAAAACATACTGTTCGTCTGTATGCTATTTATTGCTTGTATATATTTGATGTGCTGTCCTAACTGTCGCCTATAATAATATAAATAAATAAATATATATACGTCAGGTTATCCACTCGACAAGGTACAAAAACGGCGAGAAATTTGGCGGGAAGTCTGTCTTAGTGGTAGGCTGTGGGAATTCAGGCATGGAAATCTCATTAGATTTAGCGGAGTCGGGAGCCAGGACTTCCCTTGTTGTCCGAACACCGGTAATAAAATTAAAAAATTAAAAATAATTATTTTCTAATTTTTTATTTTATTTTATTTTATTTTTGTTATTTTAATTGAACCATATATAAAAATTTAATTTTAAAATTGAACTTGTTATTGTTAGGCACATGTAGTGTCAAAGGGGATTGTGAATGTAGGGTTGGTGCTGCTCAAATATTTGCCCTTTGGAATGGTTGATTGGATAGTGAGTTTGATGAGCAAATTGGTGTATGGAGATTTAACTAAGTATGGATTTTCAAGGCCTAAAGAAGGTCCTTTTGCAATGAAGCTCAAGTATGGAAAGTACCCGATAATCGACGTCGGCACTCTTCGCAAGATTCGATCCCGACAAATTCAGGTCATCTAATTTATTCGCCATTTTTTTTCGGTTCATATATTCGGAAGTAAGACTTAATTTACGTATGTTTCTAAATCACTTTTAGTACTATTTAACGACATAACATATATCAAATAAACCTATAAAACATAACTTCTTACTCCTTTGCAATTCATTTTTTTTTAATTCATTTTTTTTATTGTCACGTAAATTTATTTTTATTTTATTTTTTAGTAAAAAAAAGTAGATTTTTTCTACTTTTACTTTTATTTACCTTAAAAAATTTTTAATTTTTACTTATTTTATTTTAAAATATGTACTATGTCTGATGACTACATTATTTTTATGATAGATGGAGTATTGTTTTCAGAATTTCTCAAAACTCTAAATATATACTCCATCCGTCTTACATATAATATCACAATTTTTATTTTTGTTTGTTCCATATTTGATGTCATTTTATTTTATTTTTGAAAAAATATTACACATTTTAATAGTATTTAAAATTTTCAAATTTCAAATTTCAAAATTTTAAAAATATTAATTAGTTATTTTAACATCAATCTATGATTATATTTATTTAATTATAATTATTTTTAATAATATATTATTAATTATACTATTCATAAATTCTTGTATAGTAACTCTAATACTCCATTCGTTCCTTAACAATCTATACATTTTTCCATTTTGGTTCGTTTGATAACAAAATATCAATTTTCTTTTTAATAATTGTACCACCATATACCTAACATTACAAATACCCTTCTAATTTATAATATATTACACAAATATTATTACATTTATATCATACAATACAAATATGGTTAATTTAATCTTTTTACTTTTATTTATACTTTATCCTAATATAATATTATTATTTTTAAAACTTCGTAAAAAAAAAACAAATAGATATATAGATATGAAAAGAAGGGAGAATTATATATATTTATGTATGTATGTGTATGTATGTATTATTTGAAGCAGGTGTTGCCAGAAATAGCAAGCATAAAGGGGAATAATATTGAATTCAAGAATGGAGGTCAATATCCATTTGATGCTATAGTATTTGCCACAGGCTTTAAAAGATCTACCAAGCAGTGGCTCAAGGTCAGTCACCATTTCTCAATTTAATTAAATAATTAATTGATTTTATTATTATTATTATTATTATTATAAAAGTCCTATTTTATTTATTTATTTTGACAGGGTGGTGACAGTGATGGGCTGTTAAATGATGATGGGCTTCCAGAATATACTAGAGCCAATAAGTGGAAGGGTTCTAATGGGCTTTATTGTGCAGGCCTGTCTCGTAAAGGACTGTTTGGATCTGCTTCTGATGCCCAGAGTATAGCCTTTGATATTGAGGCCCACCTCTGATTATCTCTAAATTAATTAATGCCATTTCTATCTTTATTTTATGTTATTGAAAAACTGTCAAGTCTTAGTCTTTTTTAAATAAAACATTGGAATTTGCTGTGTTCATTCATGTTATTCAGAATATATCTGTATCTATATGGGAATATGATTATGGGAATAAAAACATGTGATATTTGTTCACAATTATGTCGTATTGTACAAAAAAGTATGCAATTGTGTATGTCACCGTAGCATGTGTTATTAATTCATGTGTATTTATTTTTATTATATTAACATATACATTGTGCTGTTTGTAATAATTAATATATGCGCTGCCAAACAGCACACAGTGTGTTCTTCAGCACAATGCTGAATTAAACTATATGGGAATGATTATTGGAATAAAAACATATGATATTTGTTCATAATTATATGTGTATTGTAATAATATATGTGCTGTCAAACAGCACAGAATGTGCTTTTTAATACAGTGTTGAATTAAACTAAAATTTTAATTCAACATTGTAGTTATTGTCATATATATATAAACAATAGAAACAAAATTCAAACTACAAGAAAAGGTCCTATGCTTCATTTTTACAAGATGAAATAAAATTAAGTAAAAATACAAGTAATTAAACCTTGGTATGATTTGGCATGCAGTGTTCAATGCAAGTAAAAAGACAATACATATACAGAGAGAGGTCTGTCTATAGGAAGAGGGTGGGGTGGGGGGGGGGGGGGGTCTACTTCACATGTCTATGATTCATATTTAAATTTTCAGGACATTATTATTAATACTAATAATAACTCAATGAGGCTGTAACAGTGATAGATAGATAGGTGTTGACTTGTTTTGAAAAAAAATCATTACTCATAACAAACCATAATTACTATATACACTAATTGTCAGTGTCAAATGTCAAATGTCAAAAGTTGCATTCACTTTGTGACACTTCCTTAAAGTAAAATCTACACACACAAAAAAAAAAAAAACTTAGATCATCTGTGTCCTAGAGCTCTTCTCAGTTCCAAGTACAAAAGCAACAATAATAAATAATAATAATCCAAGAGAACCTTTAGAATTCATGCGCATGTTCAAATTGTCAGATCTAACCACACAACAGCAGCTCTCATTCACAAAGAAGAATACATTTTACACATTTTATAAAGCATACTACCCAAAGTCTCCTAGGTGGGTGGGTGTGGGGGGGGGGGGGGGGTTGCAATCTGAAACCCTTTTCAAGAAAAGGGATACAAGAAAAAACAACACCCACAAGCAGAAATTTTGTTTTGGTGGGGAGGGATCATATCTTATATCCAACAGATAATGAAACCAACAACAACTACAAAAAAAACATTGGTAAAAAAGGACATCAAACATCTTTATTTATACATAGCAACCAAAGATGTAATGGAATGGACAAAGTATCCTATACACTATTGATTGCACATAACACCTGATCATAGAGAACAGCTAAAACATGTGAACATTCATTTCTTTTAGAATTATAAAATCAGCCATCAAGGAGCATAGAACACATAATAAAAGAGACATTGAGTGAGTCTGTTTTACCTGTTTGTTCATTGGAATGAATATCTCGGGCGATCGAGCAAAGGTTTGGAAGCATTTGCAATCACGTAGGGCTGTGGATGTACTCGATGGATTTTCTATATTGCAACAGTTATTACAAGAGTCTTGGGGCTGAATCTTTGTCCATAGTCCACACAAAATCAGGCATATCAGTTCTTTGTCCAGAAACAGTTCGGTAAACATAGAGCCTCTCAACAGAGCAGCTTTCGGGTCTCGAATCAGGGGGGCCTCTTTCATCTATTACCTCAATGTTAAGCCTTGGCATCTTCTGCCCGAGCAGCTTGCATGCTCTGAAACTTACCGAGCAAGAAGACATCCAAAGGGATCGCATTGTCTCCAGCTTTGCAGTGTTGGCAAGGAGAGCCTTGTCCCCGAATGGACAGTCTCTGATCTCAAGTTTACGGAGGCTGTCACAACCCGACAGCACATGATGAAGGCCTAAGTCGGTCTCCCCTGCAAAAGCTATCGAAAGCATCTCCAGTTTCTTGGCATGGGTGCCGATATATTCAAAAACACGATCGGTCAGGAGGCCAGACAAGGAAAGTCGCCGTAAGTCCTTACAGTTCTCCACAATGGCTCCAAACCCAATATCAAAAGGCTCATTGGTTAAATAGTCGGGAATCCGAGGCTCAATTATGCAGAGTCTGAAACGGATAAAATTAGGGCGATTCTTAGCAATAGCAACCAATGCAGCATTTGACATTTGGCGGCAGAAATAGAGGACCGACTGGAGCTTAGGACAGCCCTCGGAGACAGATAAAAGACCTTGTTCTGTCAAAGGTACATTAGCTTCTGCGTCGTACGGTTCTGAAGGAAACACGCGTAATTCCTGCAGATCCTTGCAAGATGCAGCCAGGGCTGCTAAACCACTGTCTTCTATATAATCTAGAACCTGTTCATGGCCATGTTAACAAGTTAATTAATCAATACAACAGAAGACAGACAACTTTAAATTCCGTAATAACAAATCTTACCCATAGGCGCTGTAAACTCGGACACTGGCTAACAAGCTTCACAAGATCAGGGCTTTGAATGGTGGCATAACTCAAGTTCAGAGAAGTGATTCCAGAGCAGGCAGGATAAACAGCTGGAAGATATGATGGAACCACATCCCAGAAACCAGATAACCCTTTAAGATGCTTACAGGCTGAAAATGCTTCGGCTAGATTTGAAAAGGCATCATCAGAACGCATATCTGCAGAATAAGCACCAGTACCTAATTCAACCAACTGAGGAGCAAGTCGAAGAAGATTGGGAAGCTTCTCAAGTGGCACAGCACGATTCAAACGAAGAGTTTTCAGGTTAGGAGATCGAGCAACCAGACGCTCCAAAGAGGAGAAATTGACTTCAGAGCCCAAGCAAGACATGTTAAATGATACCAAGGACGTGCAGTTGTCGGGGAAATGGCTAAGCCAATGCCCACTCAGGTCCTCAACTTCACATTCCCTCAAATCTAATTCTCTGAGGTTTCTGCAAATACAAACTTTACATCAATAATGGAAACAATTATTTTTGCTGCAAAAATGACAAACAAATCAGGAAGTAGGGATCAACAAGAAACAACAATTTGTTAATAGGGAACATTATCTAATAATCTTCACCAATCATGATTGCACAAAGTACCATTTAAAGCATCGAAACTGCTTCGGTTGTTCACAGCATTCCTTCATAATACCTAATTGAACCTCACACTTTTAACAGAAGAACAACTGGATAACAGCCGAAGAACTTCACTTATGCTTTATAAATCTTCTTCATACGTCTCCACAAGTTAAACAAGAGAAATAGCCATTAACTTCATATTTCAAAAGCAGGTTATTATGTAGTTCCAGATTATCCATGAAACGACGAAGAAAGTAAAAATCATATAGCATTGCAGCACGAAATTAACTGAGGAACCAACTATGTACTCGTCAACAGTCCAATTTGCAAGTAACAACCTGCAATTAGCTGCAATGGAGGCGAGACCGTCGGTCGTGAAACCCTCGCAGGACGTGAGCACCAAAGCCTTGAAATTCTTAAACGACTTGGAGATCAGCTCCAAACAGTCGTCCGTAACCACCATGCGCTTGAGCTTGATCTCCTCGAGCATCGGATAAGCAGCCGACATGGCGACGATCCAAGGGTAGAGGTAAGCTCCCCAACCATCAGGAACGAGGTTGAAGTCGGCGAAATGCGGCTTCCCCTTCATTTCCAACGACTTCACCTCAGGAAAGCGCCGGATCACGATCTCCGGCGAGACAGCGTAGCAGTTTCCGATGAAAACTCGGCGGCGACACCACCGCTCGATCTCGAACCACGACTTGCACACCAACGAAACAGAGTTCCGGTCCTTGTCGGAGCTCAGGAACGAGAACACATGCTCCAGAACCTCCTCCGGGAAAGCGTGCGCCATTGGAGGGCTAAAATGGTGATTTCACGCACTGGATCTGAGACCTGAAAGGGTAAAGAGATGAAGAAGGAGAAGCAGCAGCTGCAAGAGACCAATTGTAGCAGACAAGATAAGGTCCTTTATTATTATTATTATTATTATTTCTTTATTTATTATTTTTTATTTTTTATTTTCTGGTGTTTATATATATTTGATGCTCCCTGCGGTGAGGTTAGAATTTAACCGGAGTTCGAATCAACGTTCCAAATAACGCCACGTGTCCCCAGGCATTTCCAGCCGTTGATCTGCATATCTGGTCGAAGCGCGAGCGCGACAGCAGAAAGACGGTGGGCATATTCGTAATTCAATAAACAAATATAGAATTACCACAAATTTATTAGACTTATTATTATATTCATTATAGATTAGCTTAATTAAATGCCACCATTAATGTGCACGAAATTACTGAGACTCAAATGGAGTAAGGACAACCGCACGATTCCAAAATGCACGGCTGGATCCAACGGCTAGGATTTCAGTGGGGACCACGTGGGAAATAATAATAAAATTGTTATGTGACGTGAGCTAGATTCCGATCACGAAATCACAGCCGTCGGAAATTGTTTGCCGGTGATCATCAACCAACGGTGTGGATTTACTTGGTGTGGGAGTCCGGGAGCTCCTCGTCTACTATAAATTAACTACGGTACTTGAGGCTTAATTTTCATGTGACGAAATTAAATTAAAATTTTTTAAATCACTTTTATTATTGGTTACAAGCACAGGTGTCGATTAAAAAAATAAAATAAAATAATTTTAAAAATAGAAATATAAATAAATTAGTATTAATTAATAATTAAATAATTGAAAAGGCATAGGATGAAAAAGACAGGCACCGAAATGTATCAGTGGAATTGACTTGCAAAAATAAATGATGGCTTTATTAATGTGTTGTTGATGAAAACTGCTCGCGACAGCAGAATTATTGGAATGGGTGAATTCCCATTATTGCCACAATAATATATAAAATTATATCTATAAATATAAATAAAAAGAATGAAATTATGCTATTTTTATTAATACTATATAAAAATATTATTTAAATTCAAATTTTAAATTTTAAAATAACTCAAATACAAATACAAACGAAATATTGGTTTTTTTTAGTTCGGTAACTGACCCTTTTATCATTTTAGTTCCGTAAGTGGAGTCTGTGACAAACTAGTCTTATAAGTAAATTTTTTTTGTTTTTTTAGTCCTCCGGCGTCGGACACGCCCGCATGGCTCGCCGAAGGCTACGTGTTCGCCAAGTCAGCGATACCTGACGGTGAATTTTATTATTATTTTTTTCATTTTTCTGGGTTTTTTTTTTTTTACGGTATGTGTCCTATTTCGAAATTGAAGTTTTTCATCCGTAAATTTGGTATACCAAATTATTGATATAGTATTGAGATGGTAAAATACCAAACCAAAAATTTTGATATGTCATAACGAAAATTTTCCTACCAATAACCAAATTCGAAAAATCTGTTTTATTGTTTATTTTTAAATTTTATAATTACAATTTTTTATAATGTTAATTGCATTTAAATTGTTTTTTATTATCTAATTGCATGTATTAATTTACAATCAATACAATAGTATTTTTTTTAGAAAAAATAATTTCAATACATAAAATATTCAATATTAAAAAAATAGAATAAAAAATATTTTCTCCGTCCCAACTCAAAATATAATTTTTGTTATTTTCGTTCATTTCACTTCAAAGTATCTATTTTCTATTTTAGTAAAAATATCATACATTAATATCAAAATAATCTTAATTTTATCTAAATTACAAATATAGCATTACACATGCAATTAATTTATATACAAAGTCAAATGACAAAAATGTCAAAACTTCTTACACAATTTTTTCTAACTAATAAAATACTATTATTTATTAATTTACTATAAAATTCTAAATGACCCATTTGGAGAGAAACAGAAAGAGTATTTTAATATTTATTTCATTATTTCATCAAAATAAAAATTAAGAGTTATTAAAACAATACTTTTTTATAAATATAACATCGCTTAATCAAACTAATTAATTATATAATACAATATTTTTTAAAATGTGTTTCCAAACGAAAGTGAACCAATTTTATAACACTTTCTTAAATTGATTTTAAAAAATACAACAAATGTTTGTAGGAAAAAAAATATTCTTTATGTCATTTAAATTTATTTTCAATTTCATTTTATTATTGTCATTTAAATTTTATTCTAATTTTTTTAGTAAAAAAATAATATTTTTTCTATTTTTAATTTTATCCTAAAAAAAAATAAATTATATTTTATTTATTTTTTTAAAAATTCGTAATCGATCAAATGAGAATATAATTGAACCGAGAAAGCATGCTATTAGCAACACTACACATTATTTACTACTCCCTCTGTCCATTTACAAGGCTTACATTTACTTTTGGCTCGATGTTTAAGAAATAATAGTATTTTAATTATAGTGAGTAGTTAAAAGTAGTATAATGACATTTTTGCCCTTACTTTTTTGTGTAAAAGTAATGATGTGATGTAAAGTAAGGTTATTTATGAAAAAAAAGTAAGGTATTTAATGAAATATAAACTTTGTAATTGAACGTCCCAAAATAGAAACATGTAAACTTTGTAAGCAGACGGAGGGAGTATTTTCTTTGTCCTGACAAAGGGTATTGTTTGAGAGTTTTGTAATTAAATTAAAAAATAATAATATTTTATTAATTAATAGAAATGTGTAAAATAATTTTGAAATTTTTACTCATGGTACTTAATGTATATACGTAATAATATATTTATATTTTATGTAAAAATTAAAAATATTTTGATATTAATACTTGATTACTTTTTAAAAAAAAAATAGATATTTTTAAGTAGGATAAATAAAAATAATACTTACCCCGTCATCTAATTGTATACACATTGACCGGACATGAGTTTTAAAAAATAGATATAAAATAGAAAAGTTTACTATTTAAGATAAAAAAATAATAGTATTTTTTATTTAAAAATAAAAGAAAATTAGAATAAATTTAAATTAAAAAAATAAAAATAAAAATAAATTTGAATGTCATCGAAAGTAATTAGTACCCTTCATTGGCAACTGAAGAAATATTACATCAAATATATATTTATATTTTTTTTTCAAAAAATATAAAATAGATATTTATTTTTTATTTTTTTAAAACTTTTAATATTTTAAAAATCTCAAAAAACTACCGTCTAAACGGAGTCTATAGTATTTGATTAAATTCAGTTCATATTTATTTCTTTACCGAGACATAATGAATTTTGTATTTGATTTTTTGTATTTTACATTGTAATTATCATAATTTTAATTAAAATTATTTTAAAATAAAATACTCCATTCGTCCACAAACTGATGTTCTACTTTTCTATTTGAAACGTCCAATAACTATTATCCTATTTTTTTTTAAACACAAATTTTACATTTTTACCCTTAATTCATTTATTACTTTTAACATCTACCATACAATTAAGGGCAAATTTGTCAATTTATATAAAAAAACAATCACCTAAAAAATTGTGCAAATATAATTTAGGAAAATAAAAATGTGACGGAGGAAGTATCATATTAAACTATAATTCAAATTAAAACTTCAAACTAATGTGCAAAAGGAAACATATCCGATATGAGCGATAAAATGTTATGTGAAATAAATAAATAAGTAATTAAACGAAATGAAATTAGAGCTGATAGAAATTACGGGTTTTTTTGTTTTGTATTTTTATTTGCAGAAAAAACTTTATGTAAATTTCAAAGAATTTAATAGGTAATATAAAAATAATAAATAAATATAATATATTAACTTTTTTTTGAAGAAAGTGTAGAATATTTTTGGCAAAAAGAACAAACTCTACTTCTTCGGCCACTTTAATTTTTCAATTTTCCATATATATTAGAATTTAGACAATAATATAATTAATTAATAATTAATAAATTTATTAATAAAAAATTTATTAATTTTATAAATAATTATAAATTAAAATTAAGATAATTAATTAATTTAATTAAAATTTAAAATCATAAAATTTAAAATACGATCGAATTTTATAATTTATTTTTTTTTAAAAAAAAAAAACAAATTATACTCCCTCTATTTCCTAACAATTGACATTTTTTCTATTTTATTTATCCCATAACAATTAACATATGTATATTTTGAGTAAATATAATTAATAAATATAAATTAATTTAAGTAACTACATAACATATATAACATCACAAGTCATGTTGGACCTACTTAAAAATTTTCATTTCTATTTCTTCTTAATAAAGTAAATATTTTTTTATATTTAAAATTACACATCTTTTATAAAAATAGTTTGTGTCAATTGTAAATATATAAATTTTTTTACTTGTACTATATAAAATTTTATTATTTATAAAATAATATTCATATTTTATATATTTTTATTGCAATATAATTTTTAAAATATTTAAATATATATTCTATTATTTTAGTAATATATATTAAATTTATTTTTAAATTATTAATATTATTAATTATTTAATAAAATAATATTATAATTTATCATTATTAATTAATTAAATATTATTATTTTAAATATGTTATTACTTGTATCAAAATAATTAATTGTTTTGAAAGGAATAGAATATAAAATAAAAATAATAAAAAAAGGGAAAATTATATGAGATGATGAGTAGTAATAATAATGGTGGAAGTCAACCTGAATTGTGACGAAGCAATTAATCGGGGGCCCGAAATGAAAAGTACGATAGCTGAGCTGATAAGTGGGCCCGACTCTCTCTGCCGCCCGCCTACCTTTTCCACTGTCTTGTCATCGCACATTTTTTTTATTTAGTTTTAAATTTTTTAATATTAATATTATATTAAATTTTAGTAAAAAAATAAAAATATTTTTAGTAATACTTTCTCCGTTTCGTGCTGCTACACTATAGAACAGTATTTTAGTAGGAGTGTAATTAGTAGATAATTAAGAATGTATTAGTGAAAATAATTATTTCTGTAATATAAATAATTAAAATTAAAATAACTAATTAGTTTAATTAAAATTAAAAAATTTAAAATGAGATTAAAGTGTGTAATTATTTTCC